GGGCATTTGATGTCCAGAAGTACCAGGGGCGCGATTATCGAGGCGCACGACGAGCTCTCTACGGGATCGTTTGCGCCAGTTCGTGTCAAGCTTTCCCCACGCCACAATCGCGTCAGCGCGGTGCTTGGATATCGTGCTTGAGCTCTGTCTGGTGTACGAGTTGGTACATTTGTCTTAAACTTCAGTCGACGTAGCATTGCAGTGCATAAAAAAGAGATGTTTCACTATTGATACGTCCAAGTATTTTCTCCACCAGCAAGCATGCCAGGCCCAACATCAGCCCAGGTCCCTTACCACCTGGTGCGGCGCGCTTTGTTTGTACATGCTTGATAGAGTGCATCCGTCGGCTGGGACCTATGTCTCGGAGCTTGATCAAGACAAAACTCGAAGCTCGAAGGCCCACTTGATCACAATATTCTGCGTATTTAGCGGCGGATATGTGTCTTCGTGTGCGATGTCTAGGTAATGCTAGGAGATCAAGACGACGAAGCGTCACCAATCTTTAAGCGCCGGTCTCCTTCGAAGTTCCAGAGACCAAATTCCCGGCGAGGCTGGCGTACGGTGTCCTCGTAAGTTTAGCTGATTCACGTCGGTTTTCTTTTCCTATGTGGGAGACTGTGATCATCACCTCCACTCTAAACGCTCTCGAACGGTTGGCTGAAGAACAGCTAAGGGCCTTTGACAACGTCCGAAGAAAGGCGTTGTTTAACTAGCCAACTACCGAGGGGTAGTAGGCAAATTACGCGCCTTGGTTTGCAAAGTGTGCATACATCACTAAGGTTTGCTGCATAATGGCTAACTTCGGGGCTAACTCCAAAAATAACCCACGGGGGGATCATCCTGCTAGTTGCCGATATGAGTTACACATTACTGTCTATTGACTTGATCAGTACATCCCGTGGTATATATTTAGTACAGAAGATTGTGTATCCTTGTGGTGCTCTCAGCATTTTGCCCTCGTGCGACATACTATGGTATCCGTTCCCACGCCGCAGGTTTTCCCCACCGCCGTTCCTGCCAATTTCGGAACATGTCCGATACGCGCTCTTCGCCCTCCTTGACATCGTCATTGATACACAGCAGCGACGCGTCCGTGTAGCTGTCGATCCACCCGAGGGCGCCCTGCGCGTTCTCGTAGGTCTCGAGCATGACAAATGCATACGGCGTGAACCCTGCAACAGACGTCAGCGCTGTTGGACGTACAGTGCTAATCAACACCTACCAACGACAAAGCGGTACCGCTCGAGCAGACGCAGCGTCCAGTCGCGAATATTCACTTGGCGCGGAGAGTTACCGAGCACGGCCTTGACGTCAAACTGGCCGTCTTCCCACCGCTGCTCGAGCGACAAGTGCGGAACCTCGTCCTGCTCGGAAGCTTGGGCATTTGGTGATGCAGACACGGTGCGGAACGGCGACGGCAGGAACGCCTCCATGCCGAGGCGACCGTTGGCCTTCATTAAAACCTGAATGGCTGCAGAAACGTTCAGCGGGGCTCTGCGCGAAGGCGCAAAATGACACTTACCGCAATCGCCACACTGCGGGCTGCGGAACGCAATGTGCTTGAAGAGTTCAGAGGCACGCTCGAATGGCGCGCCACCGTCCGTGAAACACTCGTCGTACCAGATGGTGCACTCGGGCAGGTCGTCCTCCGAGACGCTGCTCGGCTTGAACCACTGCCAGTCGTGGTGGTCCGCCTCGGTGACGTACATGTACGGGTAGCCGTCGAGCGCCGAGGTCACGTAGAACGTCTTGTCGGCCTGGCGGTGTCCGCTCTCGCGTAGGTACGCGTGCACGCGGTCAGGCTCGAGCGTCTCGCGCAGGCCGGCGCGCACCGTCAGCTCGCGCGCGCCCTCGCCGCCGCCGAGCTCGAGCCACGCGCGGCGCATGATCTCGCCGTCCCAATCGTCGTCGAGGCCGCCGTGCTTCGCGACGGTCCACGACCAGAGGAGCGCCTCGCGCCAGCGCTCGACGAGGAAATGGGCCATGAGGAAGAACATGCTGACGTCGCCTGCGCCGGAGACAGACTCGCGGAAGGGGTGCGTCGCGGCGCGCGCGAGGTGCGGTGCCCACATCGCAGAGAGCTCGCGGATGATGGACATCGAGACGGCCTTGGCCTCGTGCAGGGCGTACGGACGGTGGCGGGCGCCAAAGCGGTCGCTGAGCAGGACGTTGCTCTCGCCCATGCTGCGCCATTCGCCGCGTGGTTCGTCAGGTGCCGGCTTCTCTGGCGAGACCATGATGCCGAGGTCCATGCGAAGGACGAGGCCGTAAGCTAGTTAGAGGTAAGCACTGCATGGCCGTGCTTGCTGGGGTCGATTGAACTCACCAGAAGTATGAAATGTCCTCGGAGTGAGTGGATTGGACATGTAAAAGTCATCATTCTGAGAAACATAGTTTAGTTTCGAAGCTGGACCATCGCTATCTGCGCGACATACCAGATATACACTGAAAAGGTAGCCCGCATAAATCACCTGTTCTGACAGCTAGAATGCTAGTCGACTTACATGTATTCAGACACGTCAGGAAGGTTGCCAAATTGCGACTCGATTGCATAGCTTTCGCCGCCCTCTTCAGTACCACCACGGCGCATACAGCGAGCAAACAATTCACCTGTTAAAAGTCTTGCCAGTATACGGTCTGAACATCTCCGCGTGGTGGACAACGTTGAGCTCGACACTGCCATCTCGCCATGCCCTGTTCTCCATGTCCAGCCACTGCGGTACTTGACCGAGCCTCCATTTCTCCGGTAGCGACACGTTTGGCAAACCTTCGGGTACAGCGAAGTCGGAAGTAACGAGGTGGAACTTGCCAGCATATGTCTTCCAGTTCGCCAAAACCGACCGCATCGAATGCCGCAGTTCATCGTTGTCCCTGGGCGCCACTAAAAAGTCAGCGGGCAAATCCGCCCAGACGAGTGCGACGTACCTATACTGCCTAGCCTGCTCGCTGGAGGATTTTGGCCGGTACGGGTCATCTGGCGCAAAGCTCTTCTCTGCTGCCTGCTTCGCCTCCTGAAGCAAGGCGTCCGAGCCGTTGACCCACGTCCAGACTACGTCAAAGTTGGGAATTTTTGGATCATAGCAAAGGGCCCCGGTGGAAAAGTAGGCATCTCTGCAGTGGTCAGGGAGCACTTGGACGGGCGTCAGGCGAGAGGAGGGCGGTCGCTGTGGTGGTGGCTCGAAAGGAAGGTACGCCGCATGATACTCCGGAATATAATCTGGTTCCTCGAAGAGGTCGTCGTCGTCCAATTCTGTGTCGACGGCTGACAAGATGAGATAGAAGCCAATAAGACCTATCGCAAGACCGGTGCCGAGAATAGCCCATCGTCTGTAACGGAACTGGTGCAGCCTTCCGGGCGGCTGGAGTGTCGCGGAGGTCGGGGGTCGGCCTGGGTGAGTCGCAAGAGGGATGTAGTCGCTGTATCTCATGTTGCTGACACGGGTAACAGCATCGAGGGCCGAAGCGCAGCGGGGGCGAGCTGCTCGTGTGATCTGTTTTATTAAGATCCCCCGCCAAGTCAAGCCGTTCGGCATCGATTGGTGGTAACGACCTCGGACTTGGCACTGGCAGGGCCATGCACTTAGCATGATATCATCTCTGACCAGAGATCTTCTCCCCACCGCCGCGAGCTTAGCCTTCCCGTATTGTTCGCATCGCGCTCCCCCCGCCTCAGTCGACCTCCCCTCTGCGTTCTGCGAGGTGCGGCGCAAGTACCCCGGAAATAGCGATGCTGCGGAATATTTCTGGTCGCGTTGTATCCGTCCACATTGCGTTGCGGGTGCTCGTGTGAGCGAGTAAACGGCAGCGACAAGCCCCGCGGCAGGAGCGGCACGAGAGCGCTATAAGCGCCAGGCATCTCGGCATCGGGACCAAGCGGGGAACCCTATCGGGCATGCGTAGCATTCGTTCCGTTTTCCCTACTTTAGTTGCCATCGTTGAGGATGTCTGCATGGGTTTTCATTGCCTCGCAGTGCGAAATGTCTCATGCGGGTAAGTAACCGGTTTTTGCAAGTTCTGGGATTTCTTCTCAGCCTCTAGCTCGGGTCGACCAGCTTGTGCGGCTAAGTACATGAATCTTCAATTCTCGACGCCAATTCTTGGCGAGCGCACAGACCGAGCCGGGCGGTCCTGAAGTGAGCCTGCCCTTGCCCACATAGACGAGCACGAAAACTGGCCGAGGGAACAAACCACTCGCTCAAGTGCGGTGTGTATATAGTACTTCCTGCTTGAGAAGGTGCTAATTGTCGGCTCCGATCCAGGCACGCCCCCCGGCTGACAGCTATCCGCAGCTTCCCGCCGCCACAAAGGCAGGGGGCCCCTGAGAGACCTGAGAGCCGGCGAGCGAAGCCAGGCGAGGCTCGCACGACGACCTAGTGAAACATTAACATGCGTTACTGCGAAGCTGTGCTCCGGGCGACGCTCCGCCTTCCATCACATATATTATTCTTGTAACCGCAGCTCCACAGCACCGCAGCAAACGCGATTCACGCTGCTCTCCCATATCATAATTTGAGAGTTGTTATTGGCGGCCGTCGAAGGCGACAGTCCCCCGGCGCGAGGGGCGCTGGTGACGGTCGTCTCATGACCATGCCGGCCCCGCACACGGCCTTCGAATTAGGGCAACATTGTAACTAGTTCCCACAGCGCCCTTCGTTCCCATCTCCGTCCTGCAAGCAACTGATGTTGCATGCCGCCATGGCTCCTGGCAGGGTCCTAGCACGTTGGGAGAGGCTGGAGTGCAGTTTGGCCCAGCCGGGGTTTGACTCCGCGTACAAATTCAGTTGAGAAAGATGGGTAGATGGTGGAGTACGTCTTGGGCTGGACGCAGTATTAATATTCTGGTCGACAAATTGGAAGGCCCAACTTTGGCTCAGAAACGCCGAGTAACAGACGGCTGGTGATCCCCTTCGCAGTGCAAAAGCTTCGCCTATACAGTGCTTGAGCGGCTCTCACTGCAGAGTTCCGGCCTAATTTGTCCGGACCGTGGGCAGCTCTCATCCGTGACTTTTTTCCCGACCGGCTCCGTCTCAGGCTCTCACTGCGCCAGATGTACCAGCTCCACTCCGGCGATATCCGTGAGATAAGTATCAATACTGATAGATGCAAGCTATTGTACAACAGCCACTGGATGGTATTACAGCAATATATATGTTTGGGGGTCCGAACCATAAAGTCCGCGGGCGGCGCCGCACACGCAGCGAACGGGTCAGCGGGCACTGGGCAGGCGACGGGGGAGGCGCACGTCAGACGCCAAACCAGAGCTCGGGGCCCCGAGGCGTGCGCGTCCTTGAAGCAACGCGCGCCGGCGATGGCGGACGCATCTCATACCACTCCTCGGTGCCCACGTCGCTCTTCTTCGCGAACACGGGCTCGCTGAAGACGCTATTACCGCGGTAGCTATCGTGTGTCTGCGACATTGAGTCCATCTCGCGCACCCGCGCCTGCTTGCGGAGGTGCAGCGTGATGCGAGACATCATCGTCACCGTAAGCCTGTGCCAAGAACGTCAGCGCCGTCCGCCAAGCAATTTAGGGGGAGGGAGAGGGGGGCATACAAACATTCCAATCTAGATGTCCGTCGCATGATCAGTATTGGCAAAAGATCCGCGGAGAGGAGAGCGGTCGCGGACGTACTGTGCGGTGATGTTCTGGATACCTGGGGGTGCCAAGGCAATCATCAGCGTGAGCACCAAGTTGACGGCAAAGATGACGCTACCGGGGACGTCAGCGAAAAAAAGCGCACAGCAAAGGAAGAGGCTTGCCTGTAGTACATGATTCCATCCCGCAAGAGCGCCTTCGCAATCTTGCCTGCGGTTTTATTCCGTACCGGGCCCAGCGTCCGCTTCAACGTCAGCATAAGGACAATAGTATCGTACGCCATGGGCATCCAAGCTGAGGCGGAAGCGATACCTCTTCTATCGGGTCTGCCATGAATCATGGAACGTCATGCAGAAGGAATGGTATTCCACATACACTTTACTGCCAAATATCATTGTACAAGCTGCGCAGCGAAAGCTTAGACGGGGCTAAGACAGTATGGAACAGAATTTCACATACAGTGTAAAGCAAGGTGGGAATGTGGGCCGGCTAGCGCGTGTGGGACGGCTAGCGTATGTTTAGCATCGAAGTGCAGGATATGTAGTGTAGGTGAGACTCACGAACGCCATTGGACAATAACCAAGCGTTAGTGCCGAGCTCGACGCAGAGTGCCGCAGCGACGAAGCCTACTACGAGGGGTCTTCTATTATATATCGCCGAGATACTGTGAACTGGACGTCATGAACGACTATTACGGCCTTATTGTGGACGAACGCACCGCAGAAGCATCATGAGCGCCGCTATGTTGATCCCGATGACGATCATGCTTCCCTCGTATCGTACGAAATGCTTGCATCTATGTTAAGCATCCACGTGTCATGTTAGAGATCCTGGCAACTATAAGCATGGCGCCGCACTTCTGTCACCAGGCATAAGCACGCTCCCAAGAAAACTTCCAAATGCATGAACTTACCTCGTGGGTCCAGGTTGGAGACAAATATGCTACACGATGGGGGCACTGTCAACCGATGTCTCTCTCGCGACATATCCGCCCGACGTCGGACGCACCGAATAAGTTTACTATGAAACCGAGGGGAGTGAGATACCTATTCTGCGGTTCACGTCATATCAGCTGAGCAAGGCCTGTAAGGCCGACGACGTACTAAAGCAAATAGGATTACGTCTATCCCAAGTTACACTGAGCTTACTATGCAGCATATGTGGACGTGACTCACATAATCCCTTCCTTTCTTTCCAAATATATTCCACCTGGCAAGTACCTCTACTTGTCAGCTTGAACATGACCCACATAGTTACGCGGATATACCTCATCTCCGAAGGTTATTATGTGGTCCCATACTAGTATCGTGAAGCTCACGAAGCCCATGTACTACATCATATGGTGAGCTTCCAGACAGCAAGTCTGCATTCCGGTTGTCCACAACGCACCGTAGTCATGCGCCTGAGAATGCGCGGGTGAGTACTTCGCTCTAAAGTAAGAGACGGAATACGTACGTCTGCGCGACGTCCTGTAGGTATGCTGGGGAGCGATTGTGCGCTGCGGTGTCCTCAATCCATTGCATTGTGGATACGGCACCGGGTCGTGGTTGGTCAAGCGAAGAATGAGCTCCCGCGTACACAGACAGGTGTGGTGCATGCAGTGGCAGTCTGGACTCCCTGTATCTGGTGGAATCATGGCTGGTGGACTTCCGAGCAATGCCTTATACCATCGGATATGTGTCCATGGAGAAGGTTTGTTCATCTGTTCCGCGCTGCCGGTCGCCGCAAGATTACACTCAGGTCGGGAATAGTGGGGGCTGTGCTTGTACAGTCTGTCAGATGAATATTCAGTAAAGGTGGAAATCCAACCACGCCGTTTTGACAACTTGATCACCTTTGTTATCTCATCACTTTGCCATGGTTCATGCCATACCTAGTGGCCATTGCATTGTGCACGCATACCGGCGATATTCATGCACTTGTGGCATCTCCAAGATCAAGGGCAGACAAGGTCGACAAATTGTCAGCGGCTAGCGGTGTTATGGGGCTTGACTAGGACTCCGTGCACCTGTAGTCGCATCGTATCTTCGCTTGTATCGCGCAAACCAATCTGTTGAAGAGCTCAATCTTGGAGCGAGCGAGTCTTATAGGAGTATAATGTGAGGGACGCTGCAAAGGCTGGCTCACGAGCATTTGGGCTCTCTACTTCACCCACCACTGTACGCTCGACCAGCCCGCAGTCGCCAGGTGACTCGCGAAGCTTAAGATCACAGCACTCCGTTTCGCAATATCTTGTGGCTGCACTTCGGCTATCTGAGGTGCAGCGGTGCATGGTATGATGCAAATGGAAGCATTTTAATCAGTCGGCAATGCAATCTTGTGGGGACGAGTGCGCAGTGGCCGGACAAGTTGACTGCGGGCACAGGTTTGTTAGTTGCATCGCTGGCGCCGCTAGTACCTTGGACATAAGGCGACTACTAGTGCAAAGGGGGAAGGGCGGCCTCTGATGACATTACAACTCTGTATTAGAGTTTCTACTACTTTTGGAGCTGCCACTGATAACACGTTTCAAGTACTGTCAAAGCCTGTCATAAGCCTGTAAGAGCAACCCGAGTTCCCCGATGAGCATGCTTCTCCATCTACAACTTGCGCAGTGGCAGTTATGGTCAACAATTACGTGTGCTTTCCAAGGGTATCAAACGTTCAGATCGGCCAGAAGCGGGAGAGCAGGCATGTCGCGATCCCCAGGCTGCACCGAGACGGAGTTGTCCAGCTGATCATCCCAAGATCTTGTGTGGTTATTATCCAGCTTCAAAATTGTTCCAACAGTGTACAAAGGTCTAAAAGCGAAGTTCAGTGCGAAGGAGTGTGATATTAATGGTTTTTTTTTTACTGTGGCTGGAAATAGAGCCGCCAGTACGCTAAAGTGACTCGGGACAAGGCTCAGGGATGAGGAGAGAACCTTGGGCTTCGTTACACGAACAGTATACCTTGTGATTAGCTCAGTACGTGGTTCCCGCGAGACTTAGCGCAGGTTTTCATTCGGGATGACAGCGCGGGTAGGTCGTAAGGTGCTAAGTTATGTCATACATAGGAGCCTGCAGACGCCCTCCTAATCGTCCGCAGGGTTGCGATCAGCCTTTGTCCAGATCTCCTCCAATTGCCCACCTCCCCGACTGGCCTTCATCTACACTGTGAGAATTCTGGTGTAATTGGCTTTCCTGAACTAGAACTGCTTCGCTTCGGCGACATCCACGGGATAAATATCAATACTGATAGATACGAGCAATACAACAGTCGCTGAGTGACATCATAGCGGCGTTTACGTTTGGGGGTCTAAACCATAATGTCTGCAGGCGGTGTCACGTACAGGTCAGAAGGCAGTGAGGGAGAAAACGCGCGAGTCAGACGATGAACCGAAGCTCGGAGTCTCGGCGTGCGTGCGAAGCAATGCGCACCGTCGCTGGCGGGCGGCGCATCTCGTACCACTCTTCGCTGCCTATGTCCCCCTTCTTCGGGAACATAGGCTCGCCGCCGCCGACGATCCCGCTGTCGTCGTGCGTCACGGTGGACTCCTCGACGGTCACGCTCATCGGATCGATAGGAGTTTCCCCGTCTGAGCGAGTGAAGCGCATTCGTGAGAGCACACCGCCGCCGCTGTGCGTGACTGCTGAGCGCCCCTGAAGTGTGGTGTCCGTCTCACGCGAACGCGCCTGCTTGCGGAGGTGTAGCGTTATACGGGAGATCATCGTCACCGTGAGCCTGCGTTTAGAGCGTCAGCGTCGCGCCGCCGAACAAGCGATTCAGCGGTAAACATACAGATATTCCAATCTAGATGTTCGTTGCACGATTAGCATCGGCGAAAGATCGATGGGAAGGAGAAGTAGCGAACGCACTGTGCAGTGATGTTCTGAAGACCCGGAGGGGCAGTAGCGATCATTAACGTGAGCACCAGGTTGACGGCGAAGATAACGCTACGGCAGGGCATCAGCAAAAGCAGCACACGATAACGATTCGAACGAGCCCACCTGTAGTACAGGATTCCATCCCGCAGGAGCACTTTTGCGATCTTGCCTGCCGTTTTATTCCGCACTGGGCCCAGCGTCCGCTTTAACGTAAGGGCAAGAACAATAGTATCGTATGCCAGGGGCATCCATGCTGAGGCGGAAGCGATACCCCCGCTGTCGTCGGCCATGAGTCACGGAGTAGCATACAGCAAGAATGGTGATACACATACACCTTGGAGTCGTCAAATATCATGGTACAAGCTGCGCGATGGAGAGTCAGGCGGGGCTAGGGCAGGGTGGACCAATATCCCACATACCGTGTATAGTAGGGCTGGAGTGACGGACAGCTGGCGCACGTTAGCATATCCGAGTCAGAACAGGCTGATTTAGCAGAGGGACTCACGAATGCCATTTGATAGCAGCCAGGCATTGGTGCCGAACTCGACGCAAAACGCCGCCGCGACGAAGCCTATTACTAGGGGTTTGCCACTATACATTGCGGAGATACTGCAATAGGGACGATCATTAATAACTACCACGATTCTGTGGTCAACGAACGCACCGTAAGAGCATCATAAGCGCCGTGATGTTGATCCCAATGACGGTCATGCTTCCCTCGTACCGGACGAAGTGTTTGCATCTGTGTCAATCACCCGCACATCACATTAGATATCCCGACAACTTTGAGCACAGCATTGTACCTCTGTTGCTAGGTTTGAGCACGCTCCGACGGAAACCTCCAAATACGTGTACTCACCTCGGGGGTCCAGGTTGGAGACATATATGCTACACAAAGGGGAACTGTCAACCTATGTCTTCCCCGCAACATGCCCGCCTAACGTACCAAACAGGTTTATTATAAAACCGAAGGGAGTAATATATCTATTCTGTGGCTCAGGTCACATCAACGGTGCAAGACTCGAAAGGCAGACGACGTACTATACCAAATAGGATTGCGACTATTCCACATTACGTTGGGATCACCGCGTAGTGTATGCGGATGTAACTCACCAAGTCCCTTCTTCCCTTTCCATATATACTCTACCTGGAAGGGTCCCTCTGCCAGTCAGCATGTACATAGTTTCTCTGGTAGCACGGACGTACCTCGTCTCCGAAGGTTATTATATGATCCCATACCAGTACCATGAAGCTCACGAAGCCCATATACTGCATCGCACAGTAAGCTTCCAGGCAGCGAGGCTACATTCTAGCCAACGCACTATAGTCATGCGCCTAAAAAGTAGCGGATGAGCGCTCCGCTTCAGGGTGGAGGAGGGAACACGTACACTTGCGCAACATCCTGTGGATATGGCGGGGGCTGGTCGAGCAGTACTGACATGTCCTCAATCCATGGCATGATTCTGATGCTGCACCAGGTCGCAGGTGGTAAAGCGGATGGCGAGCTCCCGCATAGACGGGCAGAAGCAACGCATATACGGGCAGTCTGCGTATCTGGTGGAAGCATGGTATCTTATACCTCCGGGCGTGTGTCCTTGGAGAAGGTTTGTTCATTTTTTCTCCGAGCGCGAAATCCCGAGTCACTTGGCGACACTGCTGGACCGCTGCTCCCCCTGTCAGGGTTTAATCTCGCGCGGGGGGAACGGGGGATAGTACAGTTTCCGTCAATCAAAGATGGTGAAGCGCTGTAGAGGGCGTAGACTGTGCGGGGTGAGCGGACGGTGCGAGGGAAGTGAGGAGCTTGGTCGCTTCGACTTGATGACATCAAGCTTCCTGTGAGAATCAGCGGTGTGTCGTACGTAGGAGCGTCGGAAGTATGGTTCTCTCTGTCATGGACCCACGCCGTATCATACGCAATGTCTCTGCTTCTAAACCTCTCAGGATGCAATACGGCGGCAAAAGCGCGCGTCGGAGTCATCAGGTTGCCCAGAGGACCAAACAGCGCCTACCGGACGGTGCCATCTCTACATGATGGCCAGCCGTAATTACCATGCTGCGCAGGACACGTAGTGCAGCCGAACATGACTGACGGTACAGACATGAGGAGTAGCTTATAACTAGAGGTGACGTAAGATATCCCGAACGCGAAATTGGGTAGTACATACGATATACATAGGCATAATGGAGGAAGTGGCAGATTGGTTGTCCATAACACATCCAAAGCTCGCAGAGCCAATCGAGACAGGTGTCATGATAAAATCTGAAGAGTACAACGTTAACATATGAAGGGGATTCTAGAGGCGCAGCGACCAATTTTGATGAAGATACGTACTGCTAAGAGGACCACAGCAACCACGACGATGAGAACGAACATCAGACATATCGCCCTGCGCCCAGCCTTCCGCTGATACTCGTGTGCTGTGGTCAGCTCCTCGGCAGCACCGGCGGTGTCGACAGCGATAGATGAAATGTTAGACTCAATATTATCTAAAGAGTGGAGTATCAGCGCCGTGCAGAAGATACGAGAAGAAGTGAACTCTACCGAGCATGTTCCCTTGCTCCTGTACCAGCGTCCCGAGGTCGCGAAATATCTCATGCAGCTCATGGATACCGGTCTCAATCTCTCGTATTTCGGTTTCTCGCTCCTGAATCAAGGATTCCTGGTGGGCTAACTCCTGGGGTGACAGTTGATTCTGCAGCGCCTGTGCTTGGTACTGAGACGAAGTAGGACTTGTAGGCCGCTCCTCACTGGACACTATGTGAGAAAGCGCAGGACGCGGGAGCAGACACTGCACGTACGCAGCATGATCTTCTTCCACGGCATGTTTCACTGTCTCCACTACCGTGCGCTGACGTTCGGCGCTGACCTGTTGAGCGCGTTGAAAGGCGACAAGGGACATCTGGAAGTCATGGGAGGTTTTTTGCAAGGAAGTCTTGTGTTTGGGCTAGATGAAAACGGTCAACAAGGGTTCAGGCTAAGAATGTGATGGTAGCCGGTAATCCCGAAGGCGAAGAACTCACCAGTGTGGCCTGCAACGCTGCAAGCTTCTTCAGATCGTCGGAACCACGCTTGGCCATAGCACGGGTGGTCTCGGTCAGGTCATGGCTGCACCCCAGATGATTGAGTTGACCATATCACAGATAGTAATCAAGCGGCGTACAGAGACTTGCGCAGCTGAGCGGAGTCCCGGTTCGTCCCAAGCTGGTCCACCAGCTTCAGGATACCTTGCACATTGGCGTTGATCTTGAAGACTTGCAGCGACAGCGACGACTGCAGACTAAGGAAAGCTGACTCTTCTTGTGACTGGGGTATGGAGTGAGAGTTGGCGGGGGTGGCGAGCCCCGCCTCTATGTCTTGGAAACTCATGGGTATAAAACGACGATGACGGTAGAGAACAAGCCGGGCGCCACACTCAGGCCCGCAGTGCGCGTGCTTGAAGAGCGTCGGGGTTCTCACGCCCACATGTGGAAAGCGTCGGTAATAAGCGCCAAGAAACTACAACCGAATCGACGTCCTTGTGTATCGTATGTACCATTACGTAGATATCAAGAGTGATAATACAAGCCACAAAAAAAGCACGAGCAAAGGTGGAACCATCGGCAATAGTCCATGCGGGCAGCCGGATACCCAGCCGAGGGAGTAAGTGATACAGGATCCTCATGAAGCACGCGCTGTGGTCGAGCCGCTCTTCGAACGATGCATAACTACCCAAGGGTGCTTGCGCACCTCGCTGAGCGGCAGGCGTTTCTCTGGATCATATTGGAGGAGCTGCAAGCGTGTAAGAAAAGGTGCATTTGACCAGACCGTGGATGCTGACCTTAGTGATTAGGTCCCTTGCCTCTGGAGATACCTTTGTAGGAATCTTTAGGTCGACTCGCGCAATACGTTTGTACGTTGCTATAGAAAATTTGTCAGGATAGGCTTAGTAAATGCTGCACACAAGGCCTACCGTTATGTCCAGTCAAGTCCTCGAACGGCGGAGCCCCAACAATGAACTCGTATGTGAGTACACCGAGAGCCCAATAATCAACCTTCTCGTTGTGCTCCTTCCCCTCGACCATCTCCGGCGGAAGATAATCCAGCGTGCCGCACAGGGTCTTTCTACGGTTTCCCGGAGCATGCACACTCCAACCGAAGTCTCCAATCTTCAGCTCTCCGTTGATCCCCAAGAGCAAGTTCTCTGGCTTGATATCTCGGTGAATTACATGCTTCGAGTGGAGATACATTAACGCGTCGGCCATTTGATCAACGTAGCGTGCGCTCCGCTTCTCGGAGAAGCATCCGTGCTTCGTGAGCTGCTTGTAGAGCTCGCCCTTGCCAGCAAACTCGAGCATGAGGAAGATTCGCTTCTCATCGTGGAAGTAGCCGTACAGGCGCAGGACGTTCGGATGTCGCAGGTTCTGTTGGATCTCAATCTCGCGCCGAATCTGCTTCTCGACGCGGGACTGAACGATTTCGGACTTGTACAAGCACTTAAGCGCGAGGATGTAATGAGGCTCGCACTTGGTGCGGACCATGTACACGCGCCCAAACTTGCCCTTGCCTAGTGGCCGGCCGATATCGAAGTCGGTCAGGTGCCATTCGCGGGTTGGGCGGTATCTGCTACGAGTTCGGCATGGCCGCTAGTGCACAGCGCGGAGCGGGGCTTACCGTGATACGCTGGAGTCCAGGGCGAGGTGCTCTGCTGCCTCTCCATACACCTTTTCCCCTCGGTTCTCATTGTCAATCTCAAATCCACCATCGTATCGTCCGATGTCTATTGCCGGCTGTGACGCTGCGGGGACAGGTGGCGGAGGAGCTGCAGTCGTAGCTTTCGTGGGAGATGCGGGACGTGTAGTCTGTTTTGCAGCCACTGAAGATGAAGAAGTCGCCTTTTGGAGTCCTGCAGGGAAAGGGTTCGGAGCAGCGTATTTGGACAACAGTTTCGAGACATTCTGGCCGGCCTGGCTTGGCTTCTTCTGGTGTGTCGCCGTCGTCGGCTTGGTCGCTGTCGTGTTCTGCTTCGAGGATATCTCAAGGGCAGCGATCTGCTTCGTCACTGCTCCGACCGAGGTCATATTGGCGTTGGATGATATGTCACAGAGCGAAGGAACAAGTCGAACCAAAAGTCCAAAACGTGGCTGGACGCGCAGGCAGTCCTCGTCACGTGCCCGCGAAGGCTGTTGAAAGTCCGCACAGTCCGCTTCCGGCGGCGATCTCCGCCACAACGCCAGAGCTAGCCGAAGCGACACCCAGCGGTCCCAGCCGACCGACGTCTCTCTCTCCTCGGCGTCGTCTTAGCCGACTTCCCGTTCGTCCTCACATGCTCGTATCCTCATAACCTCGTTCCCAACAGTGCTCGCGGGCTTCCGAGATGGGCCAGGCTGGGACTCATCATGGCCAACACCGTTTTGACAAGCGAACGACATTTACCTGTCGGAATAAGAGAACGGGGCCCTCGCACCACGCTTGTCGACCCGGCCACCGCTTACCTTGACCTTCTCGGTGGTGCAGCCATTCCGCGTGTGTAGTCGCGCGCACTCTTCGTCGATTCTTATGAAGCTCGTAAAAATGATGTCTATGCATGTGATTGCAAATTTTATACTTTGACCTAAGAGAACTCCCAGGCGACTTGCATAAGGCTGCCCCAAATCGCGTACGGTGACACTATCTAGCGGCCTACGTTCCACCGTTGCACTTCGCTGGCTCCCTTAATCAAGAGGTTCCTTCGTCGCTCGCCTTCCCTTCCACCGTTTCCTGCCGAGCTCTTACACACAAACGAAGCCAACTTGACGATCATTGCGGCCAGCTCTCGTTACTTCGAACTGCAATTTCCAGTGACATGGCAAACGGATGTCTTCCAAACGAGCTTATTCTTGCTGTCGTCGAGGAAATTTCCCAGTCTTTGTCCTACGGCAGCTTATCATCTCGCCCCGACAAGCCTCTGGGCGAAGTTGACGGACACAAGCAGGCGAAAGCAACACTTTCCAGCTGCGCACTAGTTTGCTCTACTTGGAGGGACCTCGCTCAGCCCCACTTATTCCTTGATTTCTCTGTGCGCTTCCATGGTGACACTGGTGAGTTCCCCAGCTCGGTAGCTATGTCGCTGAGCTCACCTGAGCCGCGAGACGTAGCAGAAGATAAGCAAACTTGGGGTGCATTCCAGGCTTTCGTAAAGAGTTCGACCCGTATATTCAAATATACGCACAGTATCGCTCTCTCCTTTGAACACACCAGAGTCGGCGAGGCCTTCGGCTTAAATTCAAATAATGCCTTAGCGCTTCCACTGCAAGCTGTCGACTTTTCGGCACTCCTATCCTCCATATACTCTCTCAAAAAGCTTCGATATCTCGCTATACATGGAGCAGACGTGACGATGCCAATGGAGACATACTCGATGACAGCACACCCCGCTCTCTTGGAAGAAGTGCACGTTATGGACAGTGCTATCAGCTTCGCCCGAGGAAATGCGGACCTGTGGGTCATGCCACAAGTCCTCGCTGCTTTCTCTGGAGTGAAGACGCTTACTTTCACTCGTTGCAATATTTTGGGACCAGCCCAACCGCATCGAATGCCCCAAGTCAGGAGCGACAACTTACAGACGCTTTGTCTGTCCGAGTGCAGCGCGATCGGTCCGCTGTTGGAGCCTTGCTCCTTACTCCCTAAAGGATCCTTCCCCGCTCTGCAGAATGTCCAACTCGGCATTATCACCTCGGGTGACGCGGACGCGCTGCGCGAGTTCATTGGCTCCGTCGCTGACCAGTTGACCACTTTGTCACTGCAGTTCGATTACAGCAATCTGGACGACGCCTTGAGTATGTTCAAGACCCTCCTTACTCCAAGTGATACTCACTCATCTTTTATTCAGCAGGTGGGAACCTAAGCCTGGGGCTGCGCAGCTGCTCGCGCCTGCGCACCGTGCGGCTCATCATTGACTTGTCTCGGATGCAGTCAGTTGGTGACATCTTGGACATGTGGATTACGGTGTCCCGCCTCACGCAGCGACTGGCCACTTCTGCTGGTACCGCCCCCCCTCTCGAGCACCTAGTGCTCATGTACGGAGCCGATGGCGCGGCTGCGACCCAGACTGGGTTAGACCTAAGGACGCAGCGCGCGATTATGAGGCTCATCGATATAGCGATCATGAGTGAACCGAACAGAGTGAAGAAAGTCATCTTGAAGCCCCTCCCATGGCGAGGGGACACGTTCGATCCGGCCCATTGTGCGGATCTGCAGCGGTGTTTCCCACGTTGGTCAGTAGAGGCATGCTTGCGTTTGTGGAGACGACCTAAGCGACGCATGCGCGTACTGAAAATTAACTTGAGCAAGGTCCGCCCCGATCTGTTGCTTCTATACCGCGACGCTAACTTAAAGACTTCGACTTACAGCGAGAAGACGCGAGCTCCAATCTTGTGCCGTGCGTGTTGGGGCGCCTATACACATACTAGTAGCTGCGTCGCGCTTGATGTCAATTCAGTCTGCCGAAGATTACCTATCCGTTGATGTCCGTTGATATTGGAGACTCCTTTGCCTCTTTAACTCTCACTACACAGCATTAGGCAGCTGTAAGCAACGTGCTCTAGCTGTCATACCGATTGAGAACGTTGTCTTATACCTATTTGCAAATGGTGTGCTATATCGACGCCATCATGGTCATACGTGCACGAAATGTTATCGCCTTGAAAGTCTCAACATGTAAAGTCGCAACATGGCACGTCCAGGGTGCTGTTATGGACGATCCGCATCTAATTGTGCCCGTTGCTAAGGGTCGGGCGACGCGGTGGAGACGGATAATTGTGCGCTGACCGCCGAAAACTTACATCGAGCACACCTGCTCCATTCCTCACAGCCTTCTTCCCAGGCTGCTAGTGTGTAATAGTGATGTGCTCTCGCTTAGCCATACGCCCGGGCAATAGTTGACTTTCTCGCATGTCGGAGGCCCGTCAGACGTTCGCTTGACCCTCTATGGCCAGATGAGAGCTTGGTGTACTCGGTTTCCAGAGATACACGTTCAGACAATAGATGAGACCCTATGAGATGCACAAGCTGGCGTTCTCGTTTGTGCCAGACGTATAAGAATGCACCGAGAGTAATGCAGTGACAGTGCCCAGTCGCTCGGTCTTCTGAACTTTGCTTCTGTCACCAAGACCCAGGGGCTCAAGAGGCGCGCCGAGTACGACGAGCATGAGATGCGATCTGCGCGCGAAGGGCGGTTGCTATGGGTAGATGTACACTGTGTATAACTGGTGTACGTCTTTCCATAGCTACCGCCATGCAAGCGACGCGGGGTGCTCGAGGTTCTCCCCGGGTTTAACGGACCTAGCCCCTAACAGCAAGCAACGGGTTTCTTGGCTCGGGAAAGGGTGCGAGTGTAATTATCACGACTACTAGAACTCGTAGTCAAAATCAATCCAGTGCGGCGTCTCCAGGAACACTTTCTCGATAGTGAAGTTCTCCGCTTCAGCGGCGGTCAAGACGTGATCTGACACACGTTCGGAGGTGTTTCCTCCAGGGCCTGCGGAGTGTACCATATCAACATACGGTGGGGTGTTCGAGCAGAAAAGTAAGACTTACCGAGTGATTTGTATTCTGCGTAGAACGTAGTGTTCATGATCACAGGCCTTGCGCTATCGAAGGGTTTGAACCCTGCAGGCGCAATACTGTCGTCCATAAACGTCCGAAGGTAGACGGTAGTAGCCAAATCATTCCAGGGACGTCCTATCCCGGTGTGAGAAATGGAGCCAAACACCGACAGAATTCACGTTGACGAACCCAAGAAACACTGCTCGTTGGTTACCGTTGTGGCGTTTGCGTCGGGAGACTGTATGGTAGTGGTGAGCAGAGCAAAAACGGTGAAGTAATCGTTGAACGTACACGAATGATACGTGAATCCGAGATGTACGCGCCGTATCGATTGCCTGGGGCATCTGTCAAGTTGGTGCCTTTCCAGGCAGCGATGCCGCCGCCGCATGCCCGATTTGCGAGCGTGACGCTCTGGAACCAGCTTAACACGAATACATTAACCTTAATCGAAATGGTGATAAGAAAACATGTGCCTTACGCTGTTCCAAATCCGAAAAGATCTGAGAATAGGACAGTCAGCACGTGCGTGGCGATTCCCTCCGATGTAGACCCACAGTCTGTCTGTCCGAATATGATGCTGTCCACAACATAGGTGCTGGCGTTTTTCCCGGTGTACCAAGTATCCTGGTAGCTGGCAAATGTGCACCCATAGAAGGAGGCGTTGGCATAAGAGATATCTGTCACCAACGCCTGCGAGATGGAGAAGTTCGCCTGAGTAAAAGGACCGTGAGTTATCTCATCTCAGATACTCACATCATCTGTGTGACGTACCGCTCGATTCTGGAAGTCAATGTTGTACACTTTGAAGTCAGTGTTACCAAAGAGCGGCTGAAGCGGGGCGCCTGTTGTCCCAGCTCCGATGAGTGACGCGTTGAAGGATGGCGAGACAGTCAACACAGCGGACTGGGCGTCGTCTATTCCATTCTCCACGAACTGGTCGTCCCATATCTGGACGAGGTTTCGTGTCGAGGCGTTGCCTGCTGGATCGAAGGCCGTCTGCGGATCAAGCTGACCCTGTTATAGTACGAGATGTTAACAAGACAAGGACAGAAGTAGGTTAGCATCTTGTCCTACCAAAAGAGTGAGAGGTGCTTTCCGTGAGACATTCACAGTCTCATGGTATTCGCCCTCGCCAATCAGTATGATCGCATCGTTTTCGTCAGGTCTGCACGCAAACTTCAGTACATACTTCCGTAGAACTGCAAAATCTACTCACAAAGACTCGACAGCTTGCTGAACGCTCGTGAAGTGAGCAGCAGAGCTGCTTGGAGACACGAAAATTGTCCCTGCTGGACATCCGGCCGAAGGGGAGATACCGGCAGGCTTTTTTAACTGACAAGCCAGGAACTTGGGCGAGAGCGCAGCAACGCAAACTGCAAAGGTGTGTACCGTGAACACAGACGCTAACATCTTCATTTGCTGCAGACCTCTTACGTCCCCACCGACGATGTATAAATGACTTCGGTGAATACTGCATGACCTTGAGCGGCCCGTCTGACGCCGTCGGGCCAGCTGCATCGTCTCATGAGGTCCCGAGGCCAGTCAGACGATGACAAGAACCATGCAATCATCTGAACACGACTGAACAGTCGAAGACGGGGTCTGAAAGCATAGCCTAAGTCACGATGGCTGCAGCTAAACGGGGTACGGTGGCACCCATCAGTATCCCGACTGACAGCCTGCCGATAAGCCTGATATTGGCCACACAGGAACAGCTCACTATGCAAGGATAGTGCAGGGCTTAGTGCAGGATATGTTTACACCGGTGATTGTTTCTCTCGTCTTTTCGCAGGCCGTCATCGTGCAAGCGACTCGGAGGTTCATGGGCGAGACGCTGTTTTCGGTCATTTTCGGCTGAGAGACTTTCGGCAACTGCCGGATCGTCCACAGTGATGCGCTTGGCGCCAAATCCCCCGCTTCCTGAAAGTGACTGCCAAACCCTGCCAAACCCTGTTGCACGCGCCGTATGGCTCGGTGAGGGTGCTACGACCTTGTTCTCTATATGCAAGATGGTTTTTCAACATCCAGAATGCATTTTTATCCATAAATGCCAATATCAATCTGGCTGCCCTTGTGATTGGACTCAGTAATCACAGCGCTTGAAGTTGAGTCACGATGTCGACTCCCCTTCACGGAGTTCCAGAGCCCTCGCTTTGTCGGCGTTGCTATCAGAGTCACCTTGGCCTCGAACCCCAGCATGGAGACGTCGTCCGCTGCTCAAAACGATGCGCAGGATTCTTGTTTCCCCCTTGCGCAGACAGTGCCGAATGTTGCCAGGAGTCCCGGACGTGGTCTCCTTCACCGCGTCCGCGAACTGAATGCCAGGTCGTTCAAGGCACGAGCAAACGTACCCACCTATGTTTGGTGTGCCATCTTCACCGCGTTAGGTGGATTCTGCTTTGGCTTCGACACGGGCAGTATCGGTCCTTTGATTGTCATGCCCCAGTTCCAGCAACATTTCTTTCGGGACGAGGCCATCGACCCGACCGTCCAAGGTCTAGTTGTCTCCTCGATCCTCTTGACTGCATCTCTGTCGTCCTTGCTTTCTGGGCCATTGTCCAACAGGATCTCGCGTATCCGTACCATCTCGCTCGGGGCAGTCGTATTTGCTGCTGGTAGTGCCATCGCCTGTGCCTCCGGACATTTGCCCCAGCTGTTTGTCGGCCGCTGTATCGCTGGCGTTGGTGAAGGGATCTTCCTTTCCGCCATCACAGTGTACACTGTTGAGATCTCACCAACATCATCTCGAGGCAGACTTGGGGCTGTCGTGCAGCTTTTCATCACCATCGGTATTGCTTCCGGTAAGGAATTTCAGACACAGTGCTTCGACAGAGCTTAATCTCCGGGCCAGGCTTTTTCGTCTGCTATGGCACTTCTCGTATCCATTCTTCACTCTCCTGGCGCTTCCCCTTAGGCATGCAGTCCATAGTCTCCATCATCCTGGCCGCTGGGTGCCCCTTCCTGCCCCACTCTCCTCGTTGGCTGCACCACGTAGGGCGTCATGGCGAGGCTCGCACTGCGTGGGAGCGCCTCGGTGTCAGCGCTGCCGAAGTCGAAAAGACGGAGCAGGCCACACAGAGGGAGGAAGTACCGAGGGAAGGCTTCTGGAAGGAGATGAATCAAATGTGGAGGAAAGGCATTCGAGCCCGCACTGCACTTGGTGTCTTCTTGTCTGGGATGCAACAGGCGTCTGGGATCGACGGTGTGCTCTACGTAAGCTCACTTATAAACCTTTGTTTATGACCCTGCTCATTCATGCTAGTACGCTCCAATCTTGTTTTCACAAGCTGGTCTGTCCAGCACCACTTCATCATTTATCGCCTCCGGTATTTCTGGTCTTGTGCTCATGATTTGCACTTTTTTGTGTCAATTCTTTACCGACACCTGTAAGTCAAACATTTAACGTGCTTTATTATTCTCATCTTTGGAGCTAGGGGGGCGCAGACCATCCATGATCTACGGCGGATCCGTCGTCGCCGGCTCTATGCTTACCATTGGGATGTTGTATGCATCTGGCGCCACTGACCACGCTAGTGGACGATGGGCCGTCATTGCCCTCATCTACATATTCGTCATCGTATTCACCTGCACCTGGGCGATCTGCGTCCGCATCATCTGCAGCGAAATTCAGCCAACCCGAACCCGCGCTGCTGTTAGCAGCCTCGGGCAGTGCGCTAACTGGGTATGATCCATTTCGTTTTTATCGAGTCAAGGCTAACCATCATACAGGGTGTCAACTGGCTCATCGCTTTCTCAACGCCTCTCTTCCTTGCGAAATCTTCTTCAGGCCCATACTTCCTCTTCGGCGCTTGCTCCTTGCTCACGACTCTCGTCTGTCTTGCCTTCCAGCCCGAGACACGTGGCGCATCCCTCGAAGAGGTCGACGAGGCGTTCACACAACCTCCGTGGAAGAGCCTCCTGGGGAGCACGTCATTGTTTGGACGCCGCCACCGACGTGGTGAGTCCGGCCAGAGACAGCCGAGCGAGAACGAGGATGAGCTCGAGCTGGATGTCATCCACCTTCCTGAGGTTAGGTTTGGTGGTCCGTGGCATTACGCGCACAGATTAACAGATGATAGGCTCGCCAGGCTCTTGCAAGTTCCGGAATATCTAGCCGCGCGGGACTCGGAGGCACACAGATCGACCACACAGAATGTGCAAAGTGACTGAGCGTATATACAGAGCTGATTACTGCATGTAGATTGTTTGAAAGGTGCTGAGGACCAGAGATTTGCTGCTTCCTACCCTAGACATGCGGTGGGAGCGTCGGCTGCTGCGTAGGCGCTTGTGTGACTCCTGCCTCCCAACCACCACCATCTCCATGACGGCTCTTCAGCTGGCTACCTTCCCGCTCTGCCCGTAGCTCGTCAAGTCATGTTTGCGACGGTTTTTATGAAATATTTCTCAAAATACATGGGCGGAGGGGGTGACTGTTCGATGCTTCGATGCTTATCTTCCAGGCCTCTCGGATAATGGTACGTCCAGCTCATATTAGCACCCGAAGTGGGTGGTACTGAGATGGCCGCAGTTCATTCCCTACAACCCTGTTTACTCAAAACTAGTGAATGCGAACCATCTTTCTTTCTTAAAGACTTAGGTCTCGTTGCCGCTGGAGAAACTCACGTCCTTTGGCATGTATGCAACCCGAATGTGGGTGCACCAGTACTGCTGACCTGGGCCTTCTCACAGATATACATCACGCCGCTCTTATCGTTATCGTATAGTCGCCGCCGGTCCTGACGCTCATGCGCGCAGCAGTCCGGCCAATCGACCCACTACGCACCGCATGTTACGGCAAGTATCCGCCGAAGAGATAGCTAACCCCCGCCAATCCCTTGCCCGTCTCAGAAACCCTTTTTGTGTCTCAGCAAAGTTGCATCCGCCATAAGTCGCGCCAGGACGCGGTGGGATGCGGTGTCAGTGTGAACTAGTTGACTATTCGCATAGCGGCCGACTTCGCCTATCTACGTACGTTGACAGATTGCTTCTGTAGGCTAAAGCTGATCAGGCCAGGGCAATCGTGATGGTAGCATGAGTGCCGGACTCTCATGCTCTACTCAACCGTTATCTACTTTGGACTTCCCAAAGCCTAACCTCGCTGGCCCGCTCTGTGTGGAGGGTGCCTGAACGGGGTGCTATCAACATCGGGCTCGCAAGTGCCGTGCTGAGCTCAAAGCTGATATCGGCGACGACCTCGCTAGCTATTGCGCAGTAAATGGCTACGAACCTTTAAATAGCTGAATCACGCTAATAATTTTACTGTATCGAGCGCGACGACAGGCTGCAGTTCTGATGACATGGGAAGGGATTTCCGCGTAGCTAGCCTTCCCATGTGGCTCTGCGGTCATCCGCTTACGCTATCCCGTAGCTGCGGGTATAAAGTGCGACGTCGAGGGCCGAGCGAAGGTCGTAAACAGCCATGCAGCTTCTCAGCACTGTTCTGGTAGCCCTCGTTTTCAGCGGCGCCCGCGTCGCTGACGCGTTGCAGGTCTTACCGACGGGCATGACTGTGGTCTTGGGCAACGTTATATACTTCATTCCCCCTACTCCGGTCGCCACGCTCTCTCTCAGGAACTCCAGCGAGGCTGCGTCTCTGAAGTTCGGTGGGGCATTAGTGCCTTTCACCTTCATTAATGCTAGCGGAGGTAGCTTCGGGCCGAGCGATCTTGCTTCCGTGGTAGCAAAGAATGCAATTTCGGACGACGTGTGGTCTTCGGATTTTATGAGCGGTCAGTGCCAACATGATTCAAAGTCATCCCGCTACTTACGCGATATTTTAGGACTGTACATTACCTCCGCGACTACCCCCAGTCTCAGTCCGGGCAATGGGACTGAAATTATTTTGTCCTCGTCAGGCACACCGCTGAGCGCGTCTATTCCTTCCGGTCCTTACGTCGTAGATACTACTTCTGGTGGCATTTTTGAAGGTACGCCGCCTTCGTAAGCTCCAGAAGGTCCAGTTTTCACTTAGATACTCGCAGCCTGGCGCTTGTACAGCGACGAGAACCAGGCATTCCTCTATGGCACGATGCCCGACGGCAATGGCGGCTTCACCGAGCTCAGCGCTAACATAGCCGGAGCGGCTACCGTTAGCATTGCAGTGCCTTCTCGGTTGTACTTCTCCCCGACTGCAGACAAGCCCCTCGCTGGCGCGCGCATTGCCGTGAAGGACATCTTCGACATTCAGGGCCTACGCACTGGTTGTGGCAACCGCGCATACTTCCAGCAATATCCGCCGAAGAACGCGACTTGCCCCGCGGTCCAGCGCCTCATCGACGGTGGTGCCATCATAGTGGCGAAGTCGAAGGCTTCCCAGTTTGCGAACGGGGAGACGGCCACGGACGACTGGGTCGATTACCATGCGCCATACAACCCTAGGGGCGACGGTTATCAGGACGGTAGCTCCTCGTCTACTGGCTCTGGCACGAGTATTGCCGCATATTCATGGCTGGACTATGCTGTTGGCAGCGACACCGGAGGGTCAATGCGCGGTCCCGCTGGTGCCAACGGCGTCTTCGGAACTCGACCCTCCCATGGAGCCGTTTCTCTGACCGACGTCATGCCGCTCTCGCCCGAGTTGGACACTGGTGGAATCTTTTCCAGAGATGCGAAGTCCTGGCAGATCGCCGGTAACTGGTGGTACCAGAACTTTACACAGGTATGGTGTCCTCTGTGCATATCGTGGATTATACTGATTATGGAGACTAGTTCAACAAATACCCGTCGACTATCTTATTCCCAGTCGATACCTGGGGCAGCAGCTTCTTAGAGAACCCGCCCAAGTCCGGCACCGCCGACGCGATGTTCAACACTTTCATCCAGAAGCTCGAAAGCTTCTTGAACACGTCGCGGACGGAGATCAACCTGACGACGATGTGGAATGCGACGAGCCCGTTTATAGCGAACGTATCAAACCCCCCACCGCCGTTACGCACAGTGCTGAACACGACATACGCAGACTTGATCGCTCTCGACCAAATCTCGCTCGTCGCGGACCCGTTCATCGCGGACTACAAGGCGTCCCATGCCGGCCAGAGTCCGTTCATCGACCCTGCACCGCTCGCGCGCTGGAATTATGGCCGCACGCTCAATGCCACGACACGCAAGGCGGAGGCTATCACGAACAAGACGGTCTTCATGAACTGGTTCCAGAACACAGTCCTGAACGGAACAAACAACGAGACATGTTCAAATGCGATCTTCCTGTACCCACAGAGCTCGGGAGAGACGACATATCGTAACGCGTATATCAAGTATGTGGCTTGATTCCCTAGGGTTATGTCGCTCATTTTCGCGCATCTGCCAGGCCACCGACTGCACCTTTCGGCTTCAGCGCTGGAAGGATCGCGGTGTACGCGGAGACACCTGATATGGTCGTTCCAGGTACGCGTCTTTGTTCGCCATTCTCTCGTTCTGCACTTACGATGCACCGCAGTCGGAGAGCTTCCGTACAACTCCACCATTAGTCTAGCGACCGAGACTTTACCCGTCACCATCAGCTTTATTACTCAGAAAAACTGCGTAAGCTGCCCTCGCTTTCGGTTGCTTTTGATGCATACTTATGCACTCATGCGCCATGTGTAGGACCTCATGCTATTCAGCCTCTTTGCTGCTTTGCAGGATGCTGGGATCGTCAGCTCTGTTGTCACCGGACAGAAGATGTTCGCATGATATGGCGCATGCTTTGGAGGAAACACATATCACTGCGTTATGAACTCTCTACGATCACTATCGATTACCGGTGGGCAGATTTACACGATGTTGGTCTCCCTGATACTCGACACCCCCGATGAGGGTCTGAATATTATGGTGCCGACTGCTTCTGTGCCAAATTCGCTATCTCAAGAGCAGAGCTTGCACCGCGTGAGCTCGAGATGACTATTGGTGGCCCTGCCACGAACCACTGCATTGTCTACTAATGGGCGCGCTCCTGGTGCAGCTCTAGCATCAAGCCTCGTGTTCTTGGTCGGGGCAGAACATGTACGAAGTCAGTACATTTCTCGGTGCCCGAGTATAGCTGTTTCCTTCCCTTGCGACGAATTTATGTGGGCTGCTAGGGCAGGTATCGTGACCGTTTGCAGGAAGGACAAATATGGGTTGTGCGGTGGTCGGCCAGGGCTATCGGGATGGCCAATACCGGAAGAATCCGGATGGGCTGCTGAAAGCTGAGCGCTGAGCACTGAAGAAGACAGGGTTCGGCTTGGGTAGCACGGCTTGGTGTTCAAGCTGTCCCGTTTGTAAGTGCTTGTGGATCATCCGAGGGTTGCTTGCGGCAGCTTTGCTGAGTTTCTAAGTAATTACGAGATCTGGGGTAGCACCACAATCTCGCGCTCACCTATACTGCGTGCATTTGAACCTTCTCGCTCGATTTCATCCGTAACGATGCGAATTCGACTGGGACTCGAAATCTCAGGAGTTGTCTGTGGAGACAAAGACTAGTACCTGGCTGCAAACTGTCGTCGTCGTCGTCATCATTTGCGAGCTCGTTGACGATGTTTTGGAGAAAGTGCAATATTAATGAGAGGCTGTTCGAGCCCTGGGCAAGGTTCAACCGGGTAACTTATGACGTCGCGATGGCTTTGCTCTTTTGAGTAAATACAGTAAGTAAATCTGAAAATTATACTTAATGCCCAAAATTAGGCAAGCGAGGTTTATTGCCACAAAATGACTTTGAATCGCTTGCCTCCGCCCTCCAACCAAAACTCTGCATGTCTTGCCCAGGTAATGTAGACGACCCGACGGCGAGTTCCTTCGTATATCCTGTCCGAACGCTGCTTTCCGGGATACAACGTCCAGCAATCGCTCGCGGGACCTCTATAGCAGACGCGCAAGGCTGCGCTGGGACTCATGAGGCGGATTCGTCGGTTGATACGGATGCCCTTGCCGGTGCGTTTTCAAGCGTATAGCTACAGGTTGTCTGTTGACATCTCTTCAGACCAGCTCCGAGAGGTAACTCTCGAGGCAGGCCCTACGCAGGCATTGACGAAGGACGGTGCAGTGCCGCCGTCTGCCTCTTCTTCGAAGCTCAGCTCAGGCTCCAAACGCAAGAAGCCCCGAAACCCAAATTTCAGAGATTTCCCTGTTGGCGAAGATCCCTTAAGTCCCCGTTCGTTTGTGGCGCACCCTCTACCATCGGGGCCGCCCCACCACCACACCGTTAGCGGAGCTAGCACCTTGTTCACCTTAGGACCTGTCGGAGAGCCAGTGGCGTATGACCCGGAGGAGCTACAGTCAACTATGGACCAAGAAGCGTATGATTCTCGACATCCGCCTCAGTTCTCTGAAGTCGCAGTCGAGGCCTTCACTGATGTTACTACACCGTCCACGCTGGGTCCTATGCTCTTACAAGGGTCGACGGAGCTGGCAAGCAACTTTTCACAAAACGGCATCGTACATCTGGGACCTATTGATTCACCATCGTCTGCTCGTTCACGCTCGCTTGGTTCCTCGAGAGGCCGTACGAGCCGCGACTCCGACAACGCCGTCGACACGATCCAACGCGACATGGACGTCGTGGAGCTACCTTCAACTCGTTGTGGAGATTCGATCACCTCTGGATCCGCCTCGGATTCTCAGTCCGCGTCGGGTTCGGCCGTTCTGTCCAGCTCGAACAAGAGCACTGGCACTGGCGCGTCGTCAGAAGGTCCACACATCACCTTCCGCTATCAGCACATCGAGGACGAGGAAGGCCATCACTTGATTGTTGGGCGCGAGGGGAAGCTAACACGTTGTGAGGACGAGGTAAGATCATTTTCTACACTGATAGCGTTACCGCGCTGCTCATGCTTATTTTCTGACGCTTTGCGCAGCCTATTCGGACCCCAGGAGCCGTGCAAGGATTTGGTGTCCTCATTGCTCTAGAGGAGGACGATGACGGCAACATGTCTGTTAGACAAGTCTCGGAGGTGCGCGAGACAGTCTAATTGCTGATCGTCTTCTCATGCTTTGCAGAACTCTACGGACATATTGGGCCTCTCACCAGTATACCTCTTCTCCCTGGAGTGTTTTACCCAGACACTTTCAGATAGTCAGGCCGACCTGCTGCTGGACAATGTTCAGTATCTCAGCGATAATGCTCTGACCGCAGAAGAGCAAGCGGAAAACCTTCACGTCTTTATGCTCAGCGGGTTCGGGGAGCCAGGCAGTGCGTTGCCGGAAGAGGGATATCAGGACTACCAACAGCGACGAAACTGGCATTGCTGGGTAGCAGCACATCGCCCGGAGATGAGAGCCCCAGCAAACCTGGATCCAGCCTCGACCACCAGGAACGCCCTCGAACGAAATGTTATTATTTTGGAGTTCGAGCTCGAGAGGGACCCTTTCAACCCGCTTTACCCCCTACAAAACGCTGGTGATCGCTTCACGTCGGGCGTGTCATCTCCGTCAGACGCGTCTGGGTCTACAGACGGCACAAACTCAGGCAGCTCGGGACGCACTTTAGTTTCGTCTGGATCAGGTACAGGCTCTGCGAGCTCGGAGGAAGCAGTGTACGGCGCAATGCCCGAAGGCTCGACGCCGAGCGTGAACAGCTGCGACCCGTCAAGTGTCGCAAGTACTACGACGATGTCGCCTACGCCATCACCATCGCAGGACAGCAGCGGCTCGGCGCACGAAGTGCGTGGCTCTGACGAGTGGATGCCCAGCCCCGAGGCGATACTCGAAAGCACGACGAGTCGTTCGAAGCCGCTCATCGCACTGGAGCGGCTGCGGCGCAATGGATCTGACAATGAGACACCCCCGTCGCCGATGTCGTTCAACGCTGGTCTCGATCGTGGGAGCGGCTCTGTGCGTAGGGGTGGCGGTCTTGCAGCGCGGCGCAGACGGGGGCAGGGTGCGGTCGGCATGATGGACGTGTTTGCCGTCATGGCTCAGATAAATGAACAGCTTGACGCGGCGAGCGATCTCGACACCTTCATGAAGACTGTCGTCGGCGTCGTGAGGGACCTCACGCAGTTCCACCGTGTGCTTATATATCAATTCGACGAATGCTGGAACGGGAAAGTCATCGCGGAGCTCGTGGACTGGAACAAGACGCATGACCTGTACAATGGGCTGCATTTCCCCGCGGCAGATATTCCTGCGCAAGCAAGGCGATTATACGCGCTCAGTACGTTCCTTTCCTGTCTTCATAAGGTCGTACCCTGATCCATGTGCACTTAGACAAAGTACGACTATTATACGACCGCGGCCAGCCGACAGCGCGCCTTATTATCAGGGGTAAAAAGGATCTAGAAACACCCCTCGTACGTCGGCAGGTTCTCTGATTCCGCCGCGACTTGACCGCTCTGCAGGACATGACTCACTGCTATCTTCGTGCGATGAGCCCCATACACTTGAAGTATCTCGGCAACATGGGCGTCCGAGCGTCGATGTCTGTCGTACGTGTATTATATCCTCAACGTCCTGTTAAGCTCACTTGTGTTTGCAGTCGATCATGGCCTTTGGCCAACTCTGGGGCCTTGTCGCCTGTCACTCGTATGGTCCATATGGCATGCGGGTGTCGTTCCCTGTACGGCAGATGCTTCGGCTGCTGAGTCAATCAATTTCGCGCAATGTAGAGCGCCTCAGTCTTGCTCATCGACTACACACGCGCAAATTGGTATGGGGTTCCTTGTATGCCCGGTTTTGCATTAAGACCTCACCGTTATCGCAGATTAATACCATGCCTACAGATCAGAATCCGTCGGGCTACATTGTCTCGGATGCCGACGATCTGCTTGGGCTGTTCGATGCCGACTACGGTGTACTTGTCATTGGAGAAGGCGCTAAGATTCTCGGCCCAAATCAGCATGGGCAGGAGATCTTGATAGTTGCGGAGTATCTGCGCATGAAGCAGTTTAAGTATGTACTTCTTCACGCACCGCCACTCTCGCTCACCTCCTTCACTTCTAAGCACGATGCAAGTATCGCAAGCGGTAACAACCGACTATCCCGACCTGCAACTCTCCACCGGGCTAGAAGTTATCGCTGGGCTGCTGTATGTACCGCTTTCGGTCGGCGGCGGGGACTTCATTGCGTTCCTGCGCAAGGGGCAGCCACGACAGGTGAACTGGGCCGGGCGGCCGTTCCGAGCCGACGAGGAGAAAAGCACTCTCGAGCCACGAAAGTCCTTCAAGTTGTGGTCCGAGACCGTCGCCGGACGGAGCCGTGCGTGGGTGGACGAACACCTTGAGACCGCAGGCGTGCTTGCGCTTGTGTATGGCAAGTTCATTGAGGTCTGGAGACAGAAAGAGAGTGTGCTGCACGCGACGAAGTTGACGAACATTCTACTCTCGAACGCGAGCCACGAGGTGCGAACGCCGCTGAACCACATTATCAAGTGAGTGTTTGCACATGTATGTTTGTTTGAGCGTACTTACGGTTCCTTGCCTCAGCTACCTTGAGCTTGCACTCAATGGCCAGCTGGATCTGGAGACTCGTGAGAACCTCAGCCAGTCTCATGCTGCGTCGAAGAGTTTATTGTTCACGATCAACGACCTTTTGGTAAGCTACCCTCGAGGACCGCTCGTTCAGATACTAACATGGCACGCACTAGGACCTCACTCGTCTGGAAAGCGGTGGTGAGACCTCGTTCAGCGAACCGTTTAATCTCCACAACGTCGTCAGCGAGGCCACACTCGTGTATAGGAACGAAGCAGCGCGGAGGGGTGTCAACTTCCGGCTGAACCTTGATAACTGCCCAGAGACTGTTATAGGCGACGCGAAGAAGATTCGGACTGTGATCGCCAACCTGACTGCGAACGCGCGTGCGTACGGCTTACTTTTGCTTTTCCTCAATTCTTACGTTCTCTGGTTGCAGTCAAATACACGCGCGAGGGTGCTGTCACCGTTGAGTGCCGCGCGTTCGATGAGCCAGATGGCCTGCGGAATTCCGACAATGTCGCGGTCGAGGTCATTGTTTCTGATACGGGCTGTGGGATGTCCCCAGACAAGCTGGAGAGCATCTTCCGCGAGTTTGAGCAGGTGGAGACACCCGCGTCGACACCACCGCCACAGTCAAAGGGGCTAGGTAGCACATTTCCTCGGCTATCCATTCAGGGTGCACACGCTGACACAACCTTTGCAACAGGGCTAGGCCTTGCAGTAGTCGCGCGCATCGTTGAGCAGCTCGGCGGCCAGCTGCGCGTTGACTCGCGCGCGAACGAAGGCAGCCGGTTCTCGCTCCTGATTCCGTTTTCGACTGCGTTGCAGCAGGACATCGATGCATCCTCGCAGCGATCGTCGACGCAGAGCCGGGGTTCGCGCGGGACCGAGATTCAATCGTTGGTGAACGCGCTGCAGCAGCATCCACATCCGATGATTGGTATTCCATCCCCTGGGCTTGGCAACAAGAACGTTGCCTCGCCGTTGGCGCGCTCGGGTAGGGAATCGTTGGGCGTGTTGACACCGGACCTGGCAGCGAAGCCCAGCCGGAGCAAGATGAGAGCCGCAAGTACGCCGGAGACGTCGCCTCCACAGCAGCTGCGGGTACTCGTTGTCGAGGTTGGTTTTCTTTTTCTTTTTTTCTGTAGGATCAAACGCTGACCTGGCCTGATGAACTCCATAGGATAATGACATCAATCGGACTATCCTGGCCAAACGCTTGACACTTGACGGGCACATCGTAGTGAACACAACGAACGGACAAGAAGGCTACGATATGGTTGAGCAAGATCGCGATTTTGACTGCGTTCTCATGGATATACAGTGGGCACCCTCGATGTAAATTCATTCTATTTGCTCATATGTTTTGTCAGGATGCCACTGCTCAACGGATACGAGGCGACCGAACGAATACGTGCTCTCGAACAAGATAGGAAGGGCTCACCACCGAATCGATTGTCCTATCAGCTCAATGGCCGTCTCCCTATCTTTGCGGTATCAGCGTCCCTACAAGAAGCTCAGCGCGACGAGATGTATAGTCTTGGCATCGACGGTTGGATTTTGAAGCCAATCGACTTCAAACGGCTGCGGGTGATCCTGAAAGGCGTCACGGACATATCGCAGCGGGAAAAGGACGTGTACACATCTGGGTGCAGCTGGGAGCTCGGCGGCTGGCTTGCGTCCGCCCACCACATACTCAGCGGCGAAGATCCCGCTAGCTCGTGAACTGTATGTCCAGAAAACACCTAAAGTCGAAGCATCATCCGCGGTCACTCACGCATGTACACGTATTGGCATAGCTTTGTCCTTGCTTTCATCCATCCACGCATATCATTTTCTCTCGCTCAACTATCATTATTCGCGATTCGATAATTTTTGGTCATAGCTCGCCATGCCTTTACCGTGCGGGCAGAATTGTCATGCGGAGAGGCTCTGCTCCGGAACGATAACATTACAGTGGTTAATCTAGTGTAGTTTGTAGGCGGTTATTCGCACAGCTGTATTCTTGGAATCTGGTGTTTCTCTTCTTCCATACATGATCTTGGGTGGACATTCCAATGCAGCTTCAAGTAATACAATGGATATGCGACATCTCGGCAGATGTTTTGCAGTGGTTGGAATTCGCGCCTTCAGCTGTGTTGTGCCATCCAGTTCCAGGTCTTAAACCAGTGGGCGATGAACACCAGCCTCCCTCGTATAGCGTATCAAGTTATGCCCAGCAGCAACCATGGCTAGCTTGGACATGATGCTAGGAGACTTCATATTCAACTATGAAATCAAGTAAGCGGAGTTCAACCCTGGGTGCGTATGTTCTAGATTTCTTCCTCAGTCTCTCACTGACTCCGAGGCAGCTCAAATGCTTCAAAAAATTATAATGTCGAGGTCTGTCGCCGGACAGCCGCCTATTTATACCCATTCTATTCTTATAATGCACGCCGGTACTTACGGAGGCCTGCTTTGAACGTCAAATCTGCTATTTGGCATTTCTGCCAAATATCTGAAACTCCGGGCTCCGGGATATGATGTTGATAGCTAGGCCACTCTGCATTGATCCTGCATCGTGACGCCAGCTTGATGATACACTCTGACCCATAATGATCTGTTTGTACGGCTCCCCATGCAGATGAAAGAGATGGATCTTTGTCACAGGCGTGATGTCCCACCAGGTACGCGATCTCTTTGAGCGTCCTTAAGCTCGGGGGCTTCTCATGGAAAGCGCGTCTTTTAACAGGAAAGCGTGACGACCACTCCCGCATCTGCGGTGCTGATTGCCCTCTCTACACTGGCCCTGGGTCGGGTCGGACTGCCTTGCGCAGAAGTCAATATATTGGCACTTGCCCGGCTTGAAGATATAAGGGCAGTACACGGACCTGGCCGCATGCACGCCCCTCTGCCGCAGACTCCTCCCCTGCTGCTATGGCTCTTGATGACGCTGGAATGCACCGAGCTGGTCTCGCATTCCTCTACAGAATTATTCCTGTCCTTGTAGCGACGGTTCCTTACGGTCAGCTGCCAGGTCTTCTCATCGGCCGCAAAACTGATGACCGGCCCCAAGGCATCTACATCGCTATCTTATGCGTCGCAACGCGAGGGTTATGGTAAGCATAACGCGACATCGCCCACGATATCTCGCGCCTCACTCCCATTGCAGGCAGCGCGGGCTGAGGACCTCTTCGAATGTAATAATCCTCGTCGTCCTCCATGTCGTGTTTTGCCTGAGCATTGCGCTGTGGGCCCTCGAGATTGCTCAGCTCATCGGCCTGGTTGACCTGCTACTCTCACCCGATGGTGACTACCGATGCTCTATTCAATCGCTTTTACAATCTCATCGCACGTGAGACGAAAGTGACAGGCGTCTTATTCAATTGTCAAGTACGTGTTACTTCTACCTTAGCCCGGCTCGCCTCGGTGCGGCTCACCAGGTGACGTGCCTAGATGATCATTGGCGATATACTTGTGATTTGGCGCGTCAGCGCTATATGGTTCGAGAAGAAGGCTGTTGTGCTCCTCATCAGCAAAAAAATCGGCAACTTACCTAGCCTGAACAGCCCTGGCAAAGCTAATCTCACTTATAAAGGTAATCATTATGAGAATAGGCTTGCCAAGGTAGATATCTCACCTGTATGATAACTAAAGCTTACCAGTCTGAGGACCTTTACCATTCGGGTAAGGTTGGTAATGCATTACCAGGGAGCGCCAGGCTGGCGGCGCTTGCCTGAGCGCTCGCAACAATTCGTTGGATATTCAAAAATATTCGGGACTGATTTGCACATCGAAATTAGGAGCGGCGAGAAATATATTCATGGAGGTTTATGGAATACAAAGTATATGTATTGCATAAAATGGCAGTATCGAGACGAGAATGCCCTCCGAGTCGCGTCGCATGCAAACATGATATCAGCCAACAAGCGGCTCCCGGCGCAACGGCTACACAGTTGGCGCACAGCATGCATAAAGCGAACCCTGAATGAGTCGTGTGCATAAGTTCTCATGTACGAAACTACCTGCAGACTGCTATGCTTACTGCGAGGGCTTTGTGTGGGTCCCGGAGCACGAGAGAGTGGGCCATATACAGCTACTAAGAATGGCGTTAGTATGCGAGTGAAACCATAGGGTAGAAGTACAATACAAATAGGTTTAGCTTGCTGAGTGAGCGAGGATGTCTTACAAAGGCCTATG